TACATAAATTCTCTTACCCAAAATTCTAAATACTTTATTAGTGGTGCTGTTTATATAAGGTTTTCACAGTTCCTTTTAACAACTTAAGTCCTAGTAACAGTTAGTATAGTTTAAGTATAGTTACTTATTTTAAATGCAGAGATTTATAAAAGGAAAACGGATTTTCAGTTCAAATATAGCAACCATGATGTACATGCTAACCGTAAGGAATAGAAATTCATCTAAAAGGAAAACGATACACATAGAAGATTAGGCGAAACATTTTACACAGCCAGGAAATACAAGCAGATATACTTATACCCATTAGTACCTATAAACCGTTATCGATGTGACATTGAAAGATAAATTTAATCAATGAAAGTCACCATTAATATGTCACCACGGACGACAAAAACACAAGGATTCGATTAACTTTACAGGTTTTATCGATTGTTAAGATTATCTATATTATACATTATTGTTTCCGCGGCACTTTTCAGATTAACAATCTGAAAAAACAGAATAACCTAAGGTTATTCTATTGTGGCATTGTGCAACAATTAAAATCCTGAAGATGTTTTTATATTTTTTTTTTTTACCTAAGACATCTTTGAATTATAAAAATAAACTTTGACGCATTTATTATATAATCTACATCTTATTTATTACGTATTATTTCGTTGTTAAGAGAAGTGACCTCGAAATGCTAACTAGCAAAAGAATCAACTAATAGCGATATTGAAATACTGTTTAAGACAGAAACTGGATTTTAGAATTACCTCTATCCTAGTAGTTCTTCCAACAACCTTGTAAGGTTTTGCGTAACTCCGACTCGGTTTGTCAGCCGCTCCAACTCGACCACATATCTATTCTCACCTATTGTAATTGTATTAATACAGTTTTACGTCACCTACGTATTTGTTAAACCTTCTGTTATGTTTCCTCACAGCAAAAAAAAAGATGTCACAAGGGATAATAGTCGTCGTGTAAAAATAACTAATGGTATTGCTTATCCGACTCCTACTAATGTACAGGGAGATCAGGAAACATACATACATCTACTGGTTACATTGTAATGTTCTATCTATACTAGATTCCGGACCTTCTCTAGAGATCAACGTCAGAAAGACTTGGCATTTGTCCAACAGCGTATCAGTAAACAGTTCTTAGTGGTCTTACTCCAATATTAAATATAGGTATATCTTTGAAATCATAAACTAATATTTCACTTCTTAGGCAGCTTATATAAAATGTAATGTTAAATACGCGTAATACTTCATATTATTCGGCAAAGGTTAAGAGCGAACAATCTTGTTGTGGTGACAGTACATTTCCTGGTTGTAAATCAAGTTACTATTAGGCTTTAAAAGCCGGGAGCCATTGCCGCCGCCAACGATCTTGAAGTTAAGGAAACGAGACAGAATTATAAAAGCGCGCTTAACCTCTGTTGTCGAGTAATAGAACGTTTGGCCTCGTGAGGAATCGAGCGATGGATCGACAAACTGAATAATGGTGAGACTACATCGTTACGTCATGACCTTCATAGGCTCGTGCTGTGACGTAGACGCACTCACGCCTACCTGTTTGCACGTGGCTCAATAAAAGCAGCGTTATTAGTGAAACTATTCACATAGAAATTGCAATTCAGTAACAACTTGCGTTTATTCTTCGTCTTTCATTTTACAACTAATCTAATTTTATTTTACAAAGTAAATAACTGTGCTCACTATATTTTGAATTAACAGTTTTTAAAACATGTTAATTTAAAACTAGTTTAAAATGGTTAAAATAATAAATTACAAATATTACGTACTTCAACGACGAACCCCGCGCGGTTTGCTGATTATACCTAGAAAGGAAATTACAATATTGTTATAGTGATAAATAGACGTGTCTTGGGTGGAGAGGCCTAGGATCAAGGCTCATGCTACACAAAAGATTATCATGGGCACCGCGGGCGAGGATAAGCTGTAAGGCGGAAGCAGTCGTGCGAGGCCGAGGACGAACGGCCAATTCTGATTGCAACTGAACGCACGGCAACTGAAGCAGTTTACCACAACCGTTATATTTGTAAACCCACAAATTACTTTTTATGCCAGATGCTCTTGATAACAACATATGCGATGAGAATAATTAAATTAATTGTAATTTAATATCTAATCTACTGTTATATAATCTAAGCAGCCTTGTTAATCATACAACACCAATTGCTGACGAAAAATAAAATTATCTGGTCCCAGTTTTCGTGTAGGTAAATGATGAGGATTATTACGACGTCAGTAAACGTGTTTCAAATACAAAAAGGACACAAAGAGTTTTTGCGGTTGCTTATATAACACATACGCACGTTGTGGTGGGCGAATAAGGGGAAATGGAACTGACACGGTCCGCGCAACAGCCCTGCCTTGCCACGAAATACACCATCACTATTTGGCAACGCTACCATTGGAAAGCAAAGACATCGATATGGCCGTGTAAAGCCGCATGTAGACACTAATCTAACTAGGACAGATTGATTTATAACTCAAACAAGAAACTGTGCCACCTCGGCCATACAGCAATGAGTTCAACATTGTTTTACCATGAATATGCAATCACAAATGTACATAAACTGCTAGAGATATTAACTAACCATTCTAATTTCGTGAAGTAACTGAGGTCCCTTGACCATATTTCGGACACCTGACGCACAACGCCATCTAATTTAAAACTAAGCAGAGTTTGTACTATGAAAACTAAATTGACTTATAGAATACTTATATATATATATTTTGCAAATACATACATATTATACATAGAAAACACCCAAACTTCGAAACAAATATTTGCAGATCATACAAACATTTGGTCCAACCCGGGAATCGGACCCCTAGACCTCCGCACAGCAGTCGCATACGTTGCCACTGCACCACGGAGGCAGTATACTGGTTATTTTAATACCTTGGTTATTTTAGTGTTCATTATTAAATGACAACAAAGTTTGAACTGGTTCGGCCTCAAGTTTTTATTGTCCTATGAATTGCTAGATGGTCAAAATGATTGGCGAAACCTTGACTTCGGCCTAATACAAATTGTATGACCCCACTTCCTACACAGCTGAGGGTCGTCACTGTCGATTGCCTTTAATTCTATCTAACAATTTTGATGGTCATACGGATACCCATTTTAATGGGCAATTAATTCATGATGTTTATGTCATAAAATTGTAATAGCTTTATAGGTTTATGCTTAGGAAAAAGGAACTAGAAGATGCCATTGACATTTTCGTCATGCTAAATCTTAATAGACTTTAACAATATTCCGTAAGATTAAATACTAGCAAGGACAAGATAAGGGTCGGCTGATATGTTCAAACTGACCCAGAACATTACCCTAAAACTTTGTGCTTTGTTTAGTAAATGGAAGCCATTACATCTACGGGGTCATATTAAATCACTTATAGAACCTATCATTTACATTCACGTATAACATCATTAACAATCAGTTATTGAAGTAAGTAAATCTTATAATAAACGTATGCTTCATTTATTCTGCAAACACCTACAGGTAAAGACTATATTTACCTTTAACCTTAAAATATGTAAATGTAGCTTGTGCCCTCCTTTTCGTAATTTGTACCAAGTACTTTTTTCTGCATAGTATCTTTGAAATTACATCTATGATGGGATGTATAAAATTATTAGTATAATGGGTTCTTATTGCGTATGGTTATTAAAATTATTTACTAGCCCTGACACAATATATCTCGGTTTGGTGTAGGTGTGATTGCAATGAGATTCTGTGTATTGGTGTGCGTGTGTCAAGCTCGTCGACATTAACAGCAGTTGGTACCAGCCAGCTCAACACCGGGCATCGAGAACGCGACCCGGTTCGCCGCTCGAGAAAGCATCGACAAAACTCGGTTGAGGCCGCGCACACAGCCAGGCGGACGTACACTTTCAGTGTTCGTATGCGCACCGTGTGTTTATTAAGAAACACTAGACAAAAACTATACAAAGCGTCCGTGAATTACGAAAACTGGGATTTCAAATCAATATTTTCTACAATTCATGTACTGCACACTTTTACAAACCTCCTTACTGTAAATGCACTAGTGAATAATTTTGTAATGAGCCTTAAATTAAGGGCAAATCGTGCCGTATTATTTTGTAATAGTGACCAACTCGTGTTATCTTTAGTACTACCGTCAGTATTAGTAGTTTGAGTGCATTTATCGTTTGCAAATCCGATATTTATAGAATATTTGTACTTAAATGAAAAAATCCATTAAATATATTTACATAACAAATTGTTCCACTTCCGAATGCAAATTTAAAAGGGGTATTTTTAGAGTTAACCTTTATTTTGGTGACCTCGAAGTTGTTCAATACAAACTTACATCTAATAAACATACGCGTGTGTCATACGGGATGTATTTTCCAAGGTGTTTTAACGTTAACGCTAAATTTGACCGTTCTAAATAAATTTGTTCAGTTACATTTGCCCTTGAATTAGATGCCCCCGTTCTACTTTCCTACATCTTAACAATTCGTTAATCACCATATGTTTAGCCGTAATAAATTAGCGCAGGTGCAAATCAGATAAAAAGATAATCATTTATATAATGCAACTATAAACACAGTAATATACAAAGACAAAGCGTCAGCGTTCTAAATAAGTGTTATAAATAATTCCTCGATGCTGTAAAACTACAATGATACAAATAATATTTGAATGTAGACTTAAAACAGCGTTAGTAAAAAAAACCGGGTCAATTTGACATCGTAATGCATTTGACCTACATGGAAAAAGAGAGGCATTTGAAAAAATTGGGCAAGGCCTACGCGCTACGCTTGTAGTGTCCAACGTTATGTATGCTTCCAACTAACACTTTAGAGTTTTAAATGTCGATAACGAACAGTTGCTAGTTGCAAATATTAGTAACAAACAAAAGTTTTCTTTTTTATCAAGACAAATTAAATACTCAATGAACACACTTCAGTCAAAACGATAAATATTAATTTCTTGATATAACTAGCGGTATGTATATGTACACAGCCTACAACGTCAAATTTCGGGTCACTCTGCACGGTAAGGGGAACAAGGTAAAAGATGGTGCATTGAATATGGCCTTAAGCCCAATAGCGATCTGCGGCCGCGTTGCTTCCTATTGGCGTCGAGGCAACAATGGCAACTGTGCGCTGTCGGCTGCTACGAAGGTGACGAAGCTGCAAAAGGCCGAGTACCACTCCTTAATCCCAATACTTATTTTTATTTGTAAGATAGCTACATTTGTAGCAAAAGCAACTGAAGTAGAAAGCAAGTATGATTGTGAAAATTTCTTCGTGTACAAAACTCTTTAATTTTGACAACTTACTACAAGTACATACCATATTTATTTAAAATATGGTTAAACAATGTGAACTCTAAATGTTATTATATTAATTTCAAGATCCGAGTTTTGTAGAGGTATTATGAATACAAAAAACTTGGTCAAGTATGCATTGACCCAAAATTAGTGACCCCTACATGAGTTTGCTTAGGTAAGCTTTACCGAATGAATGTTTAGTCCAAGAGTAACTACCTACCATACATATACATTTTTACGTATGTACGTAAGTGTATACGTATGTATAAGGAATTACATTATTTACACAGATGTATTAAAACAAACTTTGTTTTACGCCAATGACAATTAGTTCGCAAGATAAACAAAAGGTGGATATGTACAAAGGGTAGACGACTTATCCAATAGTAATTTCTAAGAGGGACCTTGGATGGGATGACCAAAAATCGACAACAAATAAAAAAAATCCTTTTAGTTTGTCTTGTTATCCTAAACGCAATATATTTTTATTCAAGGTAATGACAATCCTAAAATCAATAATGAGCTCGCAAAGAGTAAAACAAATGCCAAAGTTTTATGGGTCACCTGAGGCAAGGTCTGCCTAACGGTGGGAGGCAGAGACTTGAAAAGCGTAGGGACCACTGAGCGAGGGAGGACCCTGACACAGATCTAAACTCATCAGTAAAGCGCGGCAAGGGCCTCGAAATTCGGTGGCTATATCATCGATTCCTACACGCACCATACCGCGTTACGCACAAAATGGGTCAACGCGCTCTTCGCTCCGACCAACTTGGAGTGCGCGCGATGTCCCCGTTCCGAATTGCTCCCTCGACAAATTAACGCTTCACGCAACTGTGTTCCAAATCGGTTAAGATAAAATGTTAAATAACAGCTTTATACTTGACACTTGATTATCGACAAATACATCGTATTCGATTATCTGGATGAAATTTCGGAATGCTACATTTAACTAAAAAATAATTCGTGTAATGAAGAACAATTTAAAAGTTTCACAAATATGAATATTTAATAATTAGAAACATAAATAGTGCGTAAAGCCAGGTCTTACAAATTCGACATGAATAAGTATTTCCCTGCTCTCGTGAACTACTTTTACGCGAGTAATGATATCGCTTCGGCAATTTACAACGTAGCGACACTCATTTGCTTTTCTTTTGATGAATAATATGAGATGTCACCATTTAATTTTAATACTATGCAGATATGATGTTAATTGACACGGTGCCCTGGTTAATTTTTTTATTTAATAGCAAAAAACATGCGTGTAAGAGATGTGTGCCTCCGTAGGGAGACTAAGACTACTTGATTTAGTAAAGAGGAATACATACAACACGCTTTTATTTGATATCATATATACATATTTATGAATGATATAATAAGGTAGAGTATACATTCATGCCTACATCCAGTTACCTGTTCCGGGTTAAAAAGAGGAGTATTTAAATATAACATTTTTCGTCTTATAATTTGTTCCCACGCGCGTAATAGGGATGATCAAGTCTAGTGCCATAAACCGAGATTTTTAGAAATTAAAGATGGAAATTGTAACCATAGTGAAATAAATAAATAAGAAGGACGGATGAATTAGGGACTGTAATCTATAATTCGCGCAGGTCAGGGTCGCATGCCTTTAACTCGAACTAGCTGTGGCCGGGAAGCCTGCGCCTTCTAACACAAATCAACCAATCTTAAAAACTGGTACAGAACATTTATTATAAAACCTATTATATATGCACAGAAAGTAAGGTAAAATTACATGTCATTCACATTCAACTTACTGTTCTGATGGCAAAAACACATTTTTATTAATTTTATTATTGTAAGAGTTGAATAATTTACGATATAATACATACAGAAAAAATATTCTATTCATAAGTAACAATTAAAAAGTTATTGTTACTTGTGAATAGAGCATTACTGTCATTTTTCAAGATATGAAACAGGTTTAAGGCGAATGCGTGCAACATAGTTAAATTGCGTTGTGAACTACAAATAGATCGTTTCTTCTGTTACAGAAAACGTTTCAAAAGACTTGTCAAAAAACAATCAGTAGATATGTTTCGTTCAGAAAATAATAGGTAAGTGTACAAAATCATCACTCAAAAGAAAAATCATTTAGTGAAATCCCATCTTTGTAAAAAAACTATTAAATTAACGACTGTTGAATGTGAATTTGTACGACTAGAATATTTAACGATCGGACATGCGATTTCGAAAGGAATCTAAGATGTTTAAGTCGTGTGTTGGTGAAACTAATCGAGATCAACGCACAAAGAAAAGGCGCCATGCACCGTGCCGAAGAAAGACGCAACGCCGTACTTTCCATCCAGAGAGACGCTTTATTCAAATTATGAGATTTCACCAATGAAATGGCTACTAAACGAATGACGGATGGTTTCACCATCTTATCTTAAGTGAAATACACTAGTTCTTCTGTTTCATTCGATGCTATTTTACATAACGACTTTAATAACTCCTTTGCCGTTGGTTGTTCATTTAGTAACTATAAAATATAATCGATTATTTGTGCAGATTAAATGTAAATGATAAAGATTAATGTAAGTAGTTTCGAAACATACATAAAGTATAAAAAACTCAAGTTTTGTATAGTTACGAAGGTCTATTCTTATATATTGTATGTAATCTTACGAGTATTTAATATATATATAATGTATATCGACGACGGTTTGCAACTGTGACAACGAAATCGTAAGGTACTCTAATTATTACAATCGTCATAGAAGGTTCACGCTCATTCAATTTTAATATAATAAAATGTTTGGAATAAAGTTTTAAAACAATGTAGGATAGAAAAGCAATAAATTTTGATTTCCCAAATAAGACTGCAGTACGTACATACGTTAATAGCCTTGGCCTTGTGTACACACACGATAATAAGGAAGAGATTGAAATACATGCGTAATGACTATATCAATATGTTTTGTGTAAATCTACGTTGTTATGTAATACATGTAAAGTTATATGAAACATATCTACATAGTAACCAGCTGTATTACAGGACACAAGTATTTTGAAACAAGGACTGCAACTAGAAAACGAAAGTTGAATCATAATTCTTCATAGTCTAGGTTTAAATATTACTTTTCTCGTAAGCATACTTAAGTTTTAATTTTAGCCGGAGCTCCGTATTTTGTAAGAAAATAATGAAATATGACAAATTGTATGTGCACTTTACGTTGGTTATTTTTCAACGTCGTTTGAGTTATAAATAGTTACCATAGTACCTACACATTGTACATTTAGTAACTAAATGGTCATTGTTTTTTTTTGTTTTGCATCAGAATAGGTTAGTTTTTGTTAATAGTACAAAAATATATGCCATTTTGAAGGTTATTTATTATTTAGAATAGATGAGATACGAAGAGCTTCACAACACAAACAAGACAAACTTTCTGTAGGTACTCGGTAATTATTTTAAGCAAAAAACCTATATTTTTAGATTCTAAACGTGTTTATAAATATTTATTAGTATTAGTAAGGTTATGAGGTCACTCAGTTCCAAAAATATATAGCATAGGGTAGTAAATATTATTCTTTATGAACAAGATTAACTCACCATATCAGTTCGTTGGTCGTTTATGTATGTGATATGACTATATCATGTATGTACTAGGGCCTCTGTATTGTCAATTATTGTTTGTGAATATCTGTGTTATTCTAGAAAAATTTCGATTCGAGTAACGGACATTTCTATTTAACCTGACGTTATCGTAACCAAAATACAAGTCACTACGAGGTTAGTGCCGCCAAAACCCACTTAGTTATCGCATTCCGCTGTCAACGAAACAGGAGCACAGAGAGCGGGCTCGGCCGCAATCTTTCGCTTTGTACACGCTCACCGGCCCTCGACTAAATTGATACATTCTTGCGAAATAACCTCGTCCAATTTATTCAAACAATCGTACTAGACTGTTGTGTTTTTTGTATCAATAAAGTACAAATACAGATTTCAGTGTGTGAAAATAATGGTTAATTAGTATTCAATTACCTATTTACGTTACTTACAATGATATATACTTAAAATTAACATTTTCAAGTTACATTTTCATGTACGTAGCAAATGAAATAAAACTACATTATACTAGGAGAAACAAACGGTTTTCGTATTTTACAAAATACACTTAACTTCAGTTTATTCCTCAATTTTTTAATACATTTCAAATATACATATATTTTGCACCATTAATCAATTACCTGTTAAATTCTAACTAGAACATTTCATCAGGTACTGGGATTAGTTGGCAATGAATGGTTTCTAATTTAATGAAATCACATCACCTTTGAAGACATTAAATATGAAGTATTGGAATATTCCTTGAAAACATAGTAATGATTTTAATTACGATTACTTCAAACCAATCATAGTTTAATAACAGAATGCCCTATGCCAGGCGAAAGCCGTAATTTATTTTACAGACATACACAAGGTGAATCTTTGTTATCGTTTAAAAATCTACAACAATGTTGCTAGCAGTAACTGATTAAATTAGTAATAATCTAAAAGTAAAGCATTAAAAGAACATTATAGGTTATAAATAGGATATGTCCGCAATGTAAGGGCTGCGAGGAAACAAATATAGTAAGGAGGTTCGAGACGGAGGTATCTACCCAGTCATGTTCTTCATGCATTCTGTGCGAAGGGTCGTCGACCCGCTGGAAGAAGCATCTCCGCAAATCTTTATTTTCTACCCAATCCGATATACAAACCTAAACTCGTATAGATGCAGTTTTTGGGGGAGATTCTTAAGGCGGCGAGAATGAATTAAATATACTGGAAGACAATCGGCGCGTACCTACTATGCGACTCAGCGGTTCGATAAAATATACAGTATGTGTATATTTTCGTCTCATAGTGTAAGCAATTTAGGGTTTGAGACTTACTTATTAGTATATTAAATACATGGGATCGTATATTTTTTACGATAATATGACCTCTCCGTATTACATTTACAGTCGACGTCTTTTACATCAAAATCATACGCAATAGCATAGAGATTAAGATAAGTAAATATTTACTTATATAATTAAGTCATAATATTGAATGTTAAATTATTTCTTTTATTTTGTAATTATTTTATCTGTATATTCAGGGAACTCTTTGTACGCATTCGTTAGGAAATGTATATAGTTTATGTGTAGAACATGTTTAGAAAACTAAAAACTGTTACAAACTTAACATTACCTGATAACGGCTACATCAACTAGACTCATAATATAATGTACCAATGTGTTGACTCGACAGTTCAACTTTTAATGTTTTATAAAGGAAACCAAAATGAAATTTGATATTGTGCTATTACTTAATTTATCATAAACTTAATTTGGTAACATTACTCGAAATTTACGTGATGGTTATTTACTATTATCGCATAAGATTATTAAAAAATATTTCAACACCTGTTTAGGTAGAATATGGCTAAAAGAATAACGTACAGTTAAACATCTTAAAACATCCGTATTCAGAACTAAATTTTTTGAATTAAATATATTTATGTGCAAACATATATAAAAATCGTACAACACATTCATGTATTCTATCACGATGTTTACAAAGATCAGAATTTAAAATCTTGTATGTATAAAAAGAGAAACAAAAAAGAAGCTTTTGAACAACAGAAGGTGAGCGCTTTCCGGCCTGGGTTGACTTACTACCTGGCAAAAGGAAGGGACCCATACGTTATGGTTACGACAGCGTAGTCGTATGTAGCTACCTCGTTGTACAGTTTTATCTATGACATAGATCTTATTTCTTACAATTCTAACAATTCGCCGTAGCGACCAAATCCGTTTAATCATCTGCTAGAAAAACAATACACAACAAGATGAATGCATGTCAGGTCGGTTGCCAAATGCGTTTCCTGTAAACATAAATAGTAATACCAATAAGATTGATATTATAACGAAACGATGCAAGGAGCTACAATGTTTCGAATAAAACACGCTGTCAAGCAAGCAACAGTGGGGTTGGTCTGTTTAGGGTAACGTTCATGCACGAGGGTGCGAAGGAATCAGACGAAAAAATCGAAAAAACATAAACTAAAAGTTTAGGGGTGACGGTTATAAACGACTCATGAGTAAATGCAGATAAGAATTCCAATAAAATAAATAGTAGCAGTAATTACGAAACGATGTAGAAAATTTTCATTATTACTAATGATAATGATTGTAGTAAAAGTGACTCGATTTCTAAGTTGCTCCCTCTACCTGTCGTTTGACGTTCAGCTTACACAACAAGGAAAGTTAAATGCGTGTGCGGGGCAAAGCAACTTTCGCCCATTGTAGAGATAGTCAGTACTAAATGAAATTAAAATATCATTCAGATTAAAAAACCAATACTTATGAAAAGGCAAACAATACCATGTATAACATGATTCGATGTCAATATAAAAAAAATCATACATGAAACACGTCCGTTGCCGTTAAATCAGCTCGTCGTAAACACGTGAGTGTTCTTAATCATGTAACGACCCAACCGACGAAAAGTCCTTCGATGAACATGATAAAACAAACTAGTTCCGCGTTGACTCCAACAACCAAAATAGCTCACCTGGCTAAGGCCATTATACGTTCGTATAATCCAATTTTCCAAAATAATTGCACCACTTCGATAACACAAACAAACACAAGTCAAGCTATAAAAAGTGTAATAGTCCACTGAAACCGTACAACACCGGTATGCGAAAGTGTATCACGTTTGACAGTTTCACTTCACCACATGGCTGGTAAGTCGCGCGCTGTGACGTGACAGACGTACGCTGCGCTCGACGAGTGACGGCCGACTGGCGCGACTGTACACTGGACTCTCAAATGCCGTCACTGGGGGAGTCAACTTGTAATGTGAATGTGAGCACTTCTCTCGCTGATCGCGGAGTGCGGAGCGGAGGCGCGGGGTCAGCGAGGGCGGAGCGCCCGACAACGGGCGCCCGCGGGACAGCTGCGCACCACGGACCCTTTCTCCGTTCAGTTTCCATTGTATTAGTGAAAGCTTTAGCCTTCTCATATTTTTGAACATAATTAGATGACTCTGAGCTTACCATATAAAATGTGGATCACCTTTTATAAAAGAAATTATGTCATTGAATTTAAAATAGTCTTTATGTTCCTCCTAGAGTACCTATGTGTGTCCAGTGTATTAAATAAAAATTAATATGTATGTAAAACAATTATGTAAAGAAACCTTATGGCAATTAATTTAATTAAATACCTAGCTAAACAAATCGCAGCAGACCAATAAAAAAAAAGCCAAAGACAACAATTATTTTTAAAAGAGATTACAGATGATAAATTAAATAAACCTGTGATTAGAAAAGGCTAACGACTGAAAGGTATACAAAAGGATGGAATGAAACAGAAGAAGCTTATACATTGAGTGTAGCTTAGTTCAGTGCACGCAGGGAGAAGTTGTTGCCCCCGACAGCATATCCTTCTTCAGTCGCTCAGGTAAAGGCACCTAGTAAATCGAAAAATATCAAGCCAAATTTGCTTGGTTACTCTTTTAATATCGGCTATGGCAGATAAATGAATCATATGGATTATCAGCATGTCAATAATTTTTACGAACCTGATCTTTTTTTCAGAACTTTCAAATTTCTGCCTTTGACTTAGATAAAGTAAGATTTTTTATTTGTCTTGAATAATTTAGATGTTTCTCCTATTAGGTTGCTATTTCCAAAAGAGACCGTAGTCTTAGTTAATATAATATATAATATAGTGAAAACGAGTGTATTTACCGTAAAGATGTTATTATTCTGTGACTCCAATAAGCAATACAAACAAACAAATAAATTGTATGTAGAGACAAACTAAAATTCAAATCAAAGAAGACGATTGTTAAGGCCGAGAGGTTAGTTGCAGTCATAACGCGTCCATTGGCTGCCACAACAATATATAAATAATATGACCGCAAGGGTTAGTCAAAGTCATCGAGTCATCTCGCCCTCAAAGGCGGCTCAAACACTCGTCGACCTTGGCTCGAGCCTTCAGGGTTAACCTCCTAAGGGAAAAAAGCACTCGGCCTCGGATTCCAGAACCCACCTTACCGGCTCATATTCTTTACTCCTTTGTTTAAATTCAATTGTTTTGGTAGTGTGTGTCTTTGAGACTACTAAGAATACGTATTTTTATGAGTAAAATAAATACTAACAACAACATCTATGAATTTCGTAATTTGAACATAATAATCCAAACTTCTGCTCAATAAAGGTGGTAAATCGTGATTGTAAGAGTAATCTAATTTCTCAGTTACATCAAATTACTAAAAAAAGCAAGATTGCACTTCACAAGAACCTTACAACATATTAATATGTATCTTACATAATAATGGTTTTATCAATTTTTGTATAATAAGTATATTTCGGGCTCAACACTAATTATCTAATAACAATTACAATTTTAAAATAAAAAACAAAATAATGCACGTCATAACTAAAATACTCACAAAAACTTAATTTGCTTTGTTTCTAAAATTCGAACGTCATAAATATTATAAAAACTTATGTTTTAGATCAAAAGGAAAAACCGTGATTTTTATTAAGATTTTAAAAAGAAGACCAAGGAAGTATAATTTATGCGTGTGGGCAACGTATGTCAGCAAATTTGCATAATGTGTATTTGTTTACGTACGACGGGCATCATAATATTATAGATGGGTGCTAGAAGCGTTTGTCTATGACTTAAGAATAAAAGATATACATCAGTCTTAATTTAAAGACTTTTACACTATCAGTCTTCAACACTCAATTTCGGGCTCCATAAGCTACAATTTATTTAGCTTAAGGGAAAGTACGAGTATATTTCGCGCTGTCCTACAAATGAATCGATATCATTCAGAGCGGAGAAAACAGTGAGATACAGTATAAGTATGCACACAAACAAGTTGTAATACAATGTTGCAAAGTGGAACGGAAACTCAATGGAAGTTCTAATAAATTTCAGTTAATAAACTATATTTTAAAAAGACTGGATAGGTTTAATCCCGTGCTTTGTGCAAGATATTTAATGCTATTGTGGTTACAGTAAGCATTATATTTATTGCTTGGTGTAATATTATTTGAGTACTTTAAATACGACACAGAGGAAGACATGTAATTGATACATGGGCACAATGTCAAATCTTAAAATTTATTATTTTACAATGGTGCTAATTATCATGTTGTCCGAGAACCCTCTAAACTAAAAATCTCAAAAAATGTGTTTAGTCCTGTCAAACAACGTTTCGTATTCTGAAAACATAGTACTTAACAGGACTAAACAAATTATTAATGATTTTTAGTTTAGTTTAGAGAGTTTTCGAACAACAGAATTAGCACCATATTTTTATATTATACTAGCTTTTGCTAGCGACTTCGTCCGCGTGGTGGTTGACACCAGACATCTTAGAGAATACAATTAATCAAGATTTGTGTCTTTCGTACTCAAGACTTTTAACAAAAAGTATATACTGTGTTTGTAAACGATACCAAAAAAAACAAAAAAATAACGTTTATATAAATTTCCAATCCCCATTTTGGACCATTAGGGGTGTATTTTAAAAAAATACTTTCTTAGTGCACACTACGTCACCTAAGAAACATTTGTGAAAAATTTCATGCTTCTAGACGTAGCGGTTTCAGCGGAGATCAGTCAGTGAATCGTCTGTCAGTTTCTTTTTTTTTAAGTTTTTTTTTTACAAAAAATAATGTCTAAATGGAATAAAGATTTGCAACGAAATAACTTTACGATACATTGACGCACACACATTCAAAAGAACCGCATACAAGTTGGATCTTTATTTGGAAGCTTTATTAGAACTTTTCTACTGAGTGAATGTGAGATACATTAATAATACGGTTACACGATATATAATCAAACGTTGATATTTAAACAATACAGTCAATTTTAGCCTGTTGTCATGAAATTTCATCATCACGATACATAATGAGGCGATCCAAGATCAGATCTAAGATGTGGGGGTAGATGAGAAAGATTTAAAATATATACATATGTCGGGGTCAGGATATCTTGGGTTTGCGAGATTATTTTACATTGACTCGATCGTTTCGAGTTACTACTTAAAATTAACAAAAAAACGAAAATAATCCATTAGTGATATAAGACAGAACACCTATACACGAACATGTTATTATTGTTCGTAAATATTCGTCGCATATCACGGTTACAGCTTTAAAAGATTATAGACTAAGCTTTGTTGGATTACGAACAAAAAGTGACCACAACGTCAATAACTTAGTTATTGCTTGATACAAGTTATCAATATGTTGAGTGCTATTTACTGCACATACTGATGACACTACGAGCGTATGATTGCAATATGGGGCGTAGGCGAAAGGCTACCAGGGTACAAAATATTTTTTTTTAGAAACTGCACCAGGTGCCACAGATTCGCCGCTCACACTTTCCACGATTAACTTTCTCATTTACAATGCGAGTTGACCTTTCGTTTCTATCGCGCTCACTCCAAAAAAGGGTAAATCATAAACAATGCAACACAGGAGAAAGTTCAGCTTTGTTATCAATAGTAGGATGCTGTAAAAGGATTTTATTTTCTAATTGTCCATTTAGCCTTTAACTAAAACGGCTCTACGCAATAGATATAGAGAGAGATAGAAATGTATACATGTTCTTACTTAAAGTGGTTACTGGCGCTATCTGTCACAAGTAAAAAAAAGGCTTTAAGTTAGTTTCAATTTAAGACTAAAGTGTTGCTTATTAAGGATTTTAAACTGGAAACATTATGTAACATTTTTACCTGGTGGCTTGGCTTTCATCTAGCTGCACCAGTTAACTTGTGGGACAGGTTTTCCAAAGTAATTATCTCCTTAGACAAACCTAATATTTTTACCTTTTACCTTTAAACTAAGCTAATTTTAAAATAGGGAAAAATGTGCTTTTAAACAAGTACGCAGTGATAGACCGGTTTTATATTTGTATCAGTGCCCCGAGAATAGAATTAAATATTATAAGACAAAACAAAGATTGTTGCTATTGTGTGTGTTGTTCTATGACTTTAGAGTCTACCTACACAAGAGACGATTTCAATTATTTTTTTTATGAAATATAAACGAATGCTCTTTTATTGGACTAATATAGGAAAAAATGATTGACTACGCTGTTATCCCTATCTATAAAAACTAGAAATTATAGAACACCTAAAAAAGATTTGCAAAATTTCCTATAACGTAAGCCATTATTGCAAACTGTTAGATTATTATATGTGAGAATTGTGCGTTACAGCATAATGGGTTTATTATGAACAATCAAATTTAGGTTATAACCTACATTAATCGAAAGCAGGGCATTGAGAAATAAGTATTATATAGAGAGCACTTAGTTCATGAACGATGTTAAATGCCTACACGGCTGTTTACATCGATGCAGTGGTGTTTGCTATCGAAATGTTTTATTAATAAGTTGCATATTAAGGTGAAGAGAGAGCAGCGGTTCATTCTCAACTCGACTCTCCCTGTTGTGGAAAGCTAGCGACGAGCGATCACACCTAGGTGAAAATCCTATAATTTAGTCATTGTTTAACATTGCTTTTAATTCTTTATTCATCACTAGTTAGAAGAATAAACTGAGATACAAGTTTCTGAAGACCTTGATATTAAAAACAAGAAATTGTATTCAAAATAATGTTAAGCACAATATTTAGATTATTCAGTTTTTTTTTTGAATAATTCAAATCATGATGAACAATTTAAAAATGTATTTGTCATTTATTAGAGATCAGAGGCGAAGCGAACAGTGAAAGTGCATCTCGCGCATTGTCTGCGCACTCAGTTTAGAGCATTTTTCAGCGTCAGTTAAAAAGAGAGAAATGCAAGAAAGCGCCGAACAAGAAGGCGAAGGTATAGTAAAATTTGAAAGCGCTACACAATAGCACGTTGTCGAAATTGGAAAGTTGAGTGGCGTGCGTCCATTGCGTAACAGCTCTTACGAGCTGCGGTGTGACGCTGACGAAAGGTAAGATGTGACGTCATCAGCATGAAAGTGCATCGGCCG